CCAAAAAAAAAAAAAAAAAAAAGAATGTGTGACGCAAATGCATCAGGTAGGTAGCAAAGGTTGTGTGGTCTACTTGAAAGAGAGACAAAATGTAATTGGAAGTGTTCATGTTCACAGACGAGTTTGTCTTCACACTTTGAGTGTAGACCATTTAAAAAATGTATCCTAACACTGAAGATCTGCTGGGAAGGCTGGAAGGAAATGTAGCATGGTCTCAAAGGACAGCCCCAGCCCTCCCCCTCCTCACTACCAGTGTGAATAAATTTCCCCTTTTCTCAACTACCAAATTCTACAAAATCCAGCTTTTCTGAAGGGGCCACTCCCTCCCCTTCAGGGGATCCTGGCTGCTTATTTATTACTTTCAGGTAGTCTGGTGTGCTCTTTAAATGCAGAGATGATGTGTCCTCACTGTATGGTCCCTCAATTCTCCCTCCCTTGCAGAAGGATCCTGAGGTTCTCTGGGTTATTCTGGGGTGTGTGTATGTGTGTCCGTATCCTAAATCTAAAAGGTCCTGTGCTGACCATGATACAGAGAAAGCAAGCAGGAAGCAATTAGAATAAGGGAAGAGTAGAGTTGCTGTTACAAGGGATGGGGCATCTGTTATCAGGCAAGTCAGATAAATCCAGGACGTGGCAAAGCAAGTGAAGTACAAAAAATAAATTGGACCATTTTAAAAAATGATTCACTTCATTCAGAATATTAACTGGGACTTCTGAGTTGGTTACTTACTTTCCCACTTACAAAATGCTTTGTAAATATATTTTCATAAACTAAATAGCTGCCCCAGAGTATAGCACCTCATTGCTCATTTCTACATTTTAGTTTCTTTTTGTATTGTAGACTCTGTTTATTTGTGTTTTAGTGAATGAAGCCTTTGGAAGACGAGAGAGGCTTGTTCTCGGCAATGCAAGAAGCTCCTCTGTCAGCGGCCCCTTTGGGAGCAGGAGCTTAGACACACCGATGGAGTCTTAGTGAATTTTGTAAAGCTGGCCTACAAATGTTCTGTGTGTAGCTGCATTTGTGCAGAGTGACTGACACACAATTCCTCTCCAACCGCCTGGTGGTGACACAAACAGAGCTGGTCTTGGTGTGTGCATTCCAGGTGGGTGGTGCACAGCCTCTGGGTGCATTTCTTAAAAAGAATAATAAAAAAGGTTTTTAAAAAGTAATCCTTGCCTGAGCCTGGGGGTTTGAGGCCAGCCTGGGCAACTTGGTGAGACCTCATCTCTACGATAAATCACAAAAACTAGCCGGACGTGGTGGCATGTGCCTGTAGTTCCAGCTCCTTGGAAGACTGAGTTGGAAGGATCGCCTAAGCCCAGCAGATTGAGGCTGCGGTGGCCATGAGCGTGCCACTGCACTTCAGCCTGGGTAGCAGAGTGAGACTCCAACTCAAAAAAAAGAAAAAAAAAAAATTCCTTACATATGCCATCTGTCACAGAATCTAGGCTTATAGAATAGATAGTGATTTATAGAATTTTAAAAGGGGAAAATCCCATAATCCTGAAAGATGTATAAGCCCAGGCCCGGAAAGATTGTTATCTGGCCGAGATTGTACAGGGGGCCACAAACAGGTGCCCCAGAGACTCCACTTTCCTGACTGTTCTCTGATTAACACTCATGACTTAGGAGTGTTCTCAGTGCTACTCTTAGAGTTTGGTAAGTAAATTGAAAGTGACTTGTCATTTTTTCCTAGCTTGGTATTTAGTGTTATCAAAGAGAAGAAGCAGATCAACCATCCACTCATTCATACTCAACCATGGAACACATGAGCACAGTTCTGTGCCCAGTACTATACAAGGCATGAGAAGGTTCAGTGTGAATAAGAAGTTGTTCTCCACCTAACACGGGACAATGACAGATAATCTAATTCTAGATGATCTTCCTATGAAGTATGAATTTTAACAGACCATAAAAATTAGTTTGATTTATAAGACCCAACCCTAACTTGGTAGAAGAGCTGTCAGTTCATGAACCATTAATATCTCCTGTATAATTTGTGAATGTGACTTCAATCATTTTAGTGTCCATATGACAGAATGTCATTAGTGTAGCAACTTGGGTTCACCAAAACTCTTTCTACAAAGGATGGATTGTGAATTGAGATTAAAGGATGGAGTAACTTTTGTTTCTTTGTTTTGATTTGGCTTGAGATATAAGTCATGGGTCACTAAAAGTTAACAGCTAGAGAGAGACCTCTGATGGGTTTTAATAGTTAATTTCTCTCAAATTGATGTGTTCTATTAAAAAAAAAAAGCTCCAAAAATGCATCTTTCCAGGACTTTCAGTTCTCAGGAAAAGACTCAGTCATGCATGAAAAATAAAGACCTTTCACTGTTTTAGTCATATGGAACCTTCTAAAACAATTCATATTTATTACACACCAACATTTTTAAGTGGTAAATGAGGTTGACACTTCTGTTTGCAACTTGAAAGCACTGGGTCTGATGAGCACTAAGCAGGGAGTAGTTTCAGAGCCAAGAGAATGCACCTCTGCACCACTGGTTAGAATAGATCTAAGCGCCTGGGGCCCGAAGCATGCTGGCCTGGGCTTGCAGCTGCTGCAAAAAGCACAGGCAGTGTGGGAGACGCCTGAGTAGAAAGGTAACAGAGTCAAGCCTGGGAATTGGGTGAGACGGGGATCCAAATCCAAGCCAGGATTGTAAATTCAAGGGGAGCTCAGTTGTGCCATACGGACTGAGAAAGGATTCGTCCACCACTTCCATGGGAATGTGTTGTGCTTACGTGTGGGTAGATCTGAGCCCAAAGGTTAGTGGCCGAGTCTGTGTCTGCCATGGAAAGTGGGGGAACAAGACATAGCACGTTTTCATCACTGATTGCTGGTTAGTGACGGGAGTTTTCTTAGGCTGCACATGAAATCCCATGGGGCTAATCATATCTGTCAAAGTGGAGAACATATTCCTAAAATTCTACACAGATGTAGGCTGGCTCCAGATAATCATCCTGGAATTAAGCAGTGAGACTCAGAAACAAAAAAAATATACCACACGTTCCTACTCATAAGTGAGCATTGGGCATGCAGGCACAAAGGCGGGAACATCGGACACTGGGCACTCCAAGGGGAGGCTGAATAAGGACAATCACCACTGGGTGGTACTATGTCTACCACTACTACTGTCTTGGGAGAGGGCTCACTAGAAATCCAGACCTCACTTCCACACCATCTACTTACACAACAAATCCTTAAAAGTACCTACAACTCTAAAATGAAAAAAGTTCAGTGAGACTTTTCCAAAGTAGGATTATCAACTATGGGCAGGTGGAGCATTATGCTGGTGGAATCATAAGGCCTCAGTTTTTTAGGACAACCCCCTGTCCATGTTATGAAGCTCTTTTCAATAAAAGGGGATGATTCAGGCCGGACTTGGATGCTCAGCCTGTAATCCCAGCACTTTGGGAGGCCAAGGCGAGCGAATTGCCTGAGCCTGTCGGTTCAAGACCAGCCAGGGCAACTTGGCGAGACCTCGTCTCTACAATAAATAAAAATTAGCTGGGCATGGTAGCACACACCTGTAGTCCCGGCTACTTGGAAGGCTGAGGTGGAAGGATCGCGAGAGCCCAGCAGGTTGACACTGGGGTGGCCGTGAGTGTGCCACTGCACTCCAGCCTGGGTGACAGAGTGAGACTCCAACTCAAAAAAAAAACATGGTAGGCCGAGATGAGAGGATTGCCTGAGCCCACAGGTTTAAGACCAACCTGGGCAACTTGGCAGGACCTCATCTCTACAATAAGCCAAAAAATTAGCGGGGCTTGGTGGCATGCACATGTAGTTCCAGCTACTTGGAAGGCTGAGATGGAAGGATTGCCTGACTGAGTCTAGCAGGTCGAGGCTGCAGTGGCCATGAGCATGCCACTGCACTCCAGCCTGGGCGACAGAGACTGACTCAAAAAAAAAAAAACTATGATAAATGAAAGAAGTCAGACATGAATGGGCCAGATATTATATGACTTCTTCCATTTACACGAAATGTTCCCAAAAAGGCAAATCTATAGAAACAGACTGATTTCCTGGGTTTGGGGGTGATAATAGGGAGTGACTGCAAATGAGAAAAAGGGATCTTTTGGGGTGATGGAAATATTTTAAAGTAGGATTGTGATGACGGTTGCACAATTCTGAATATACTAAAAACCACTGAATCTTAACACTTAAAGTGGATAAATTTTATGGTATGTAAATTATACCTGAATAAAGCTGCTTTTTAAAAAAGATGAAGCAAATACATTTCAAGACAGGTAAAATAAATAGCTACATTAAACTTAGGCAGAATAAAAATGATCCCTGATGGGAACAGATATGCAAGAAGGAATAAAGATCAATATGAATAAGTGTCAATATGAATAAGTGTAAATGAGTATTACTATATAAAACAATAATGTTGAATACGGCTGGTTTCTAAAATTAAGAAGGTTTGTTTGGTTTTTGTTTTAGAGATGAGGTCTCACTATGCTGCCAAGGCTGGTCCTGAATTCCTGGCCTCAAGTGATCCTTTGGCCTTGGCCTCCCAAAGTGCTGGGATCACAGGCATGAGCCATGGCACCTGGCCTGTCTGTACAATTAAAATGCCAGATGACAACATTAAAAAGTAGAAGGAGACAAATAGAGTTAAGTTATTGTAAGATCCTAGTATTCTTTTTTTTATTTTAAAATTGTGGGGTACAATTCAGGGTTAGGTATACAAATATTCATTGTGCAGGTACCCTTGTCGATGAGGTGTAAGATCCTAGTATTCTTTTAGAAGGGATAAAAGTATTGCTATTACACTCTAATAAATCAAGGATGCATGTTGTATTACCAGGCTAACTAGTAGAAGAATACTGAAAGAACATACAGCAAGACAAAAGGGGAGGAAGTGAATAATACATATCTGACTAATCCAAAGAAAAGAAAAAGGAATATGGAATGGGTGGAATTAATAGAAAACAAATAGTAAGGCGGAAGATTTAAAGGCAACATATTCATAATTATATGCAAATTGTCTAATTAAAAGGCAGATTATAAATATGCATATACGTATATATGTATAACACAAATATAACTGCATGCTGTATACAAAACCACAACTTAAATATGAGGGCACAGAAAGGGTGAATATAAGAAAGTACAAAAATATACACTATTCAAATACCAAAAGTAGCAATCCAACATAAAAGACACATTTAAAAATTTTTAAGCATCCAGTAACATAACTTCAAAATGTATAAAGCAAAACTGACAGAACTAAAATAGACAAGTCTACAATCACAATGGGAGATATGACAACCTTTCTGAGTAACTGACAGAACAAGAAGACAAAAAACTCATTAAGTATAGAGGCCTAAACAACATAATTATTAAGTTCTAATTGTGATTCATAAAACACTGAACCCAAGTAAACAAAATACACATTCTTTTCAAGTGCATGCGGAATATTTTTTAACATGGATCATATGCATGGCCTTAAGGCAAGTATCAACAAGTTTTAAAAAATTAAATTTTTCAGAGTATGTTTTCTATCATGGGATTAAGCTAGAAACCAATGTGAAAACAATTAGAAAATTCACAAGCATTTAGAAATTATGCAAATTTCTATCTTTTTTTTTTTCAGTTGGAGTCTCACTCCATTGCCCAGGTTGGAGTGCAGTGGCATGCTCACGGCCACCCCAGCGTCGATCTGCTGGGCTCAGACTATCCTTCCACCTTAGCCTTTCAAGTAGCCAGAACTACAGATGCACACTACCATGCCCGGCTAATTTTTTGATTTATTGTAGAGATGAGGTCTCGCCAAATTACCCATGGGCTCGGGCAATCCCCTCACCTCAGCCTCCCAAAGTGCTGGAATTGCAGGCTTGAGCCACCGCGCCCGGCCTGCACATTTTTTTCGAAATACTCCATGAATCAAAAGAGAAGGTGAATAGAAATTTTTTAAGGTTTTAATTGAATAACAAAGTACAGTATATAAAATCTTGTAGGATGTAATTAAAGCTTCATTCAGCTGATTTTATGACCTTAAAAGCATATTTAAAAAGAAAAACTGATAATCAACATTCAAATAGCCACGTAAAGAAATTAGAAAAAGAGGCCAGACACAGTAGCTCACGCCTGTAATCCCAGCACATAGGGAGATCGATGTGATAGGATTGCTTGAGTTCAGGAGTTTGAGACCAGCTT